CATATTCATGTGCCTTTTAGATACCTAAGTGAAGTATTTCTCATTTTGAAGCCAGTACTTGCTGCTCATCTGGAGTCTCAACACTTCCTTTGAAGTCTGGTACTTTAAGAGAAGTATTAGGGAAGTGTTGATTCTATATCTTAAAACGTTTGATGAAGGTTTAACACCTAAATCAAGTATGCAAAACCTTATCAGAGGTCTAGGGTTTAAAAACTGAAGGCTATATCAAAATCAAATCATATAATCTAATACATTTTCTCTTTACATCTAGATCATTCAATATAACTTTGGATTGTATTCTATGTACTTCACATATTAAGCAATCCATTTTTTCTGATACCTACATCATTCAAAATCACTTTGATTATCCTTGAAGCAAAGTTTACATGAAAAAAAATAGTGAAAAATCATAATCTAGGATTACATGAAAAAAATGGTGAAAAAACATAATTTAGGATTACATGAAAAAAATGGGGAAAAAAAAAAAACATAATTTAGGAATCCTCTCTAACATCATGTAGAATATCAATCTTTGAATCATATCCTATAGACTTCAATGACTGTGTTAACCCACTTAACACTTCAAAGATCTCAATTGATCTTGGGTTCCTCTTGTCTGAAGAGTAAAACTTAGCAACACTACCATTCACCTCAATTGAACTCCACCCTGGTATCTTTTGAATCCCTCTCTCTATCATCACCACCTTCATTCTCGCCGCCTCTTTCCGCCTGCCTGCTGCCGCAAAAATTTTAGATAACAACTCATAATTTGCAGGGTTTGTAGGCTCTATCTTAATAAGTTACTCTATAGCATATTCAGCCACCATTACATTACCAAATGTGCGACAAGCTCCATGTAATGAGCTCCAAACTACACTATCCTCTTCAATAGGCATCCTTTTTATCAACTCCAGTGCCTCTTCAATCCTTCCGGCTCGCCCCAGAAGATCAACCATGCATCCATAATGCTCAATTGTAGGAGTATTATGGCAGTCATGGGTCATAGAATGGAAGTTTCTAGAGCCTTCATCAACCAAACCAGCATGTGTACATGCACATAAGACCCCCACAAAGGTAATGCCATCTAGCCTTGCTCTCTCCTCTCTCATCCTTCTAAAGATTGCTAATGCTTGCAGGCCATGGCCATGCATTGCGAGCCCACCGATCATGACATTCCAAGTGACCTCTCTCTGTCTCTCTCTCTTATCTCCGCAAACACACAAACCACTTTCTCTATACACCCGCACTTTAAATACATATCGATCAATCCATTAGAAATGAGTGATTTCCCCTTAAATCCATTATTGTTAGCATAATTAAAGATCCATTCACCCATCTCCAGAGCTCCTAATCTAGCAGAAGCTGACAACATAATCACCAGAGTCGCATTGTTAGGCTTTGCATTCAACCTTAGCATCTCTCTAAACGTTTCCAAAACCTCACAGTGAAACCACCATGTGCATAGCCCCCAAGTATGGCGTTCCAAGAAAACAGTCATCTCTCCGAAAGCCTTTAAAGGTGACCCCAAATCTCCATTATCAACATAACCCACCAAAAGTGTGTTCCAAGAAATTACATCTTTCTCCACCATTGAAACAAGAAGCTCTCGAGCCACACACGTCCCCCAATTTTGCATAACCCCCAACCATGATATTTGAAGAGATCACATCATTCTCAGGCACAATATCATAAAAGTAACGAGCTGATACCAAATCATTAGAGAGTATATAGCCCTGTATAATTGAGGTCCAAGAAACCACATTTCTTTGAGGCATTTGATCAAACACCCAATGAGCCGACAAAATTCTTCCACAATTTGAGTACATATCAATCAATGCCGTGCCCACAAAAAAGTTATCTTCAAGTCCGGTCTTAACAATTATACAATGAATCCATTCTCCTTCTTAATTTAATTTAGCACAGGCTCTCATAATGAAAGAATTTAGCACATGCTCTCAGAATGAAAGAATTTAGCACATGCTCTCAGAATGAAAGGGAAGGTGAAATTATTAGGTCCAACATCTCTAGAATGCATGTTTTTGTACAACCCTAGTGTTTCCAAGAAATATCCATTCTCTACCTATTCTTTGAACATAGTGTTAAAGAGGACCACATTTGGTTGAAGCATCTTGTTGAAGAGTGGGCGTGTGTAATCAATGCTATTTTTAATGGCACAAAAAGCGACGATTTTCGGGGGTAAGAAGCAATTTTGAGAGAGATTTTCAGTGAAAATTGGGGCATGAATCTGGTAGAGTTGCTTAAGGGTGCTACATCTGTGCAAGAGAGAGGTGAGTCTCTGTTCTATGAGCCTACCATGTGAGAGCTCAGCTAGTTTTAAAATGCTCTTCCCTATTTTAGCAGAGGTGGAGTAATTGAGAGGAGGTAATGCCTTATAGAGTGAAATTTCCTCAGGATTAGGTAGTGGAAATACCCATAATCAATGATAAAGCCGTAGGGTGGGGTCAGGGTCCACTTAACCTGGACCCTACAAGATACCTAAAGAGTTAGGTTCAAGTCCTAAAAGGTCTGACTGCGTTGTTATGTTGGAGCAATTTGTGTCAACCAAAACTCAGCAAACATTTTAGTTGGAGCCCCAATTTTAAAGTCCGGGTTTCCATGAAGCTTGCAATTTTGAATGGACGGTTAAGATTCTCCACGATAGAGGGAATCTCAAATGGACCGTAAGGATGTAAAAGGTTTGGGTAGCCAAGTGTGCGGGTTCGAGTACTAACGGCCACTTTGTGCATAAAAAGCCAAAGGTTAGGAGTGACTCCAGCTCACCCCTCCTAGGATTTTGTGTAGGAGGGACCAACATAGAGTTACGGCTTTTTTTTTCTTTTTTTTTTAAGCTTTCTATGCTTCCCTTACAATATAAAACTTATATATTTTCTTTTATCCCACTGTCCATTCTGAATGGACGGCTAGGATGGCTCCAATCGTAATGTCACGTTTTGATCTGATAGGTCAAAATAGAATCTCAAAATACTTTCAATCACCTATGCAATAAAGCATATTGTGTGTTAGGTTTTGCACTGCCTTATGCCCGCACCTCCCCCCACCATGCGTCTCTCTCTTAACAACCTTTCCCTCTCTCTACAAAAGTATCTTCTACTAATAACTCTATTAAAATTCTTTCTTTCTCTCTATATTAAGTAATTGTAAATAAATAATTATAGTAAAATTCTCTCTCTTTCTCTGGTAATAATCTATTCCATTAAATTTGTTTTATATAATTTTTTAAAAAAATCAAAACTCCTGAATTAATATAATAAAAATAAATAAATTAAATTAGAGAGATTTATTTTATTGTCATGTTGTATTTTAAACTTTATTTTGATTATAAAATAAATTTAATAAACAACATACATTCATGATGCGATGAGTTCTCAATATTTTCATATTTTTTACACAATAATAATGTCACTATTTCTTTTAGAAACTTACAAAATTAAATTTTTGAGAAATTATAATATATATTTTTTTAAAACCTCCTATATGAAAGTGTTTTATATTATTTTTTATATGAAAAATTGTTTATCTAATTTTATAATATGGAAGTGTTTTTCTAATTTTTTAAAATTATATAAATGTAATGTTATAATATTATGTTATAATTAATAATTATACAGACATCCAGACATGAAATCATCGTCTCAATATTCACCTACTTTTACAAAGTAATGAAAGTACATACAACATCACTCCTAATTTCTTAGAAACTAAAAAACATTATTTTAAAAAGTTATATTGATTTTTTGAAAAAAAAAATGAAACAAAAATTGTTGATTCAGCCGATTTTCCAATCCAATCCACCCATCCGACACAGATATGGGTGAGACTGGTTGGTGTTACCGATCCATTTCTTAAACATTGTTAGGAAATATCAAATTCCTTGATACGTAATGGAAGTAGGCAGAGACTTCGGATAAATAGCATATGGAAAGATATTGAAATCTCATTCATTATCTGCCTTCTCTTTTTAGAATTAGGTACTTAACCAATTTTTATCTCTTTTATTTTTATTTTTATTTTTATTTTTTTATTATTATTATTTTTACTGTGATACTTATGGGGAGCCTCATAATTAGGGCTGCTAACCGGCCAGCCCTAGCCTCCGCCCGAGTCCCAATAGGGCCGGCCGAGGCCATAACCGAGCGAAACCAAGAAGGCCAGGGCCAAGGCTCTTCCTAAAAACAAAAAAACTAAAAAAAGAGGGGCGGGTAGGGCCGCACCGGCCTTGGCCCAAGTCCTACCTTCTGGCCGTGTTGCCCAGGCCCAGGCCCTAGTTTTTTTAGGGCCATACTGTGATGAATTAAGTTTGCGCAACAATTATTACTTTCAGCAATAAAACTTTTCGTCATAGAATAAATAAAAATTCAATTTATTAGATATTTAAATGACCCATGCTAATTCAGACCAAGTTAAGTTGGATTAATGCAATTACATTGGACAACATTTTAAAAATTCAGAGCAGGTACCAACATCGAACGCCCATTTGCTCAGTCAATGTATTAATTATTAACTGTAGACATATTAATTCTAATATTTAAGAAAACCATATGCTGGCTCATTTAAATACCAATGGGCCTCGCTCATGATATCATTCCCATATCTTAGGAGTGGCAAAGCGCTGGGCGATCGGGCCGGGACCATAGAAGTCGGCCAGGGCCTGGGCTGGATGTGACGAACACGAAGTTGCTAACTAACTGTTTGAAACCGAAATGCTACAATGTGCGTGCGGGTGCGCGCGCGCACACATACACACACACATATAGCGTGCGGGTGCGCGCGCGCACACATACACACACACACACACATATATATATATATATATATATGGAAAAAGCTGGGATTAGCCCACTGGTTCATATGAACATATGAGCCCAACGGCCCATATTAAATCGGGACCGATCTGGCTATCACATGTGTCTGATAGTGTTTGAATTTTATTTTATTTTTATAAATCTAAACCATTTGAAATTTTAGGCACGTGTTTATCAAAACTAAGTAAATCTTCGACAAATATCAAAAAAAAATTTTACATGAAATAAATCTGAGCCATTGGGTGTTTATTGTAGCAGTACACACATGGGCATACATGGATTTTTTTCCTATATATATGGGAGTGGATTATGTACGCTCAGTCTTTGACCGCTACAGTAAATGCCAAATGGCTTAGATTGAATCTAGACCGATCTGACGGTCACGACCTCATTTCGTATTTCGTATTTTAATTTTAATTTTGTTTTCTATAAATCCAAATCACTTGAAATTTTAGGCGTGTGTTTTTCTTATCAAAGCGCACCTAACAAAATAAAATAAAATAAAAATTTGCAAAAACATTTGACCAAAATACCCCCAAAACTTTTTGGGGGTATTTTGATCAATTTATTTTGATATTTTTCGTAAATTCGCCTGTTTTTGAAGAACACGCACATAAAATTTCAAGTGATTTGGATTTATAAAAAAATTAAAAAATTAAAATTCAAACACTTCAGCAGTACGCCCATGGGCATACATAATCTTTTTCCTATATATATCTATAATTTTGCAGAATTTATCAAAATGCACCTGAAAGGTTTATTATTTAACACTTTTCCATTTTTACTTAATTTCAGAAAGCACATCACTATCAAAATTCACATAATTATGAGTTAGAATAATTGAAAAATGAGAAAATCGTTAAATAGTTATTAGGTGTATTTTGATAAATTTCTCTAAATGTTTAAATTACATGTGAACATTATTCTATACTCCAAAATCCACAAAATTTAGTAGAAATCTTCCAAATTTTGAACAAATTTATGGCTCTAACTGCGGCATTCTTCGGAGAAAAAAAAAACACAAACAGTTGGGCATGGCGAGCGCTGTACAAACAGTATGCGGGCAAGCTTATGGTGCGTAAAAATACAGCATGTTGGGGATCATATGCCAAAAGGCCATGATCATCATGCTCCTGGCCTCTTTCGTGCTCTGCTTCCTCTACTGGTTCTCCGGGTCGGTGTTGATAGCCATAGGCCAAGCAGAGGACATTGCAGCTCAAGGTCAGATACTTGCTAGAGGTCTCATCCCTCAGCTCTTTGCATTTGCTCTGAACTGTCCCATGCAAAGATTCTTACAGGCTCGATATGTTAGTAGTGGGAATGGAGGGTGGGTATTTTAGTACTGGGAATGGAGGGTGTGGGACATTATGTCTAGGCATT